CTTCCTGCCTTCCTGCCTGCCTTCCTTCCTGCCTTCCTGCCTGCCTGCCTCCCTCCCTCCCTCCCTCCCTCTAGAGTATTTGCACATTTTCTTTTTCCTTCATCACAGAAATCTTCCTTTCTCACTCTCATTTCCCTGTGACCACACCCAAAACCAGGGCTATTCCTTCTTCTTTAAGAAAATATTTTCTTTACATCCTGTTCTGTCACTCCTCATTTGCCACAGGGTTGGGAAATTTATCCAGCTATGTGTTTGACCCCACTCAACCTATTCATGCACTGAAGTTTTATTACTACTTAGCCTTTTGTGGAACAAATTCAGGTTACTACTACAAACCTTTCTTTGTCTTCAGAAAGTGCATGTACTCCCAAGCATTTGAAAGCAGCATTTACTAGCTTTGGCTACATAGACAGCAGGTGACATTCCCGACCACACCTTGTTCTGCAGGCTGAATCGTGCTCCTGTCAGCACCAAATAGTGCAAACCAAACAGTGGTTTGTGAACACTTTCACCAGCTGCACAGCGGCAACAGTTGTCAAACAGTTTTGCTGTCTGAGAGGGAAAGCCCACAAAACCAGAAACCACCATAGTAAGGAACTAAGATAAGAAAATTAACAGAAAACACCCTGTGCCAGACATTTCTTTACTGACACCTGTAGTTCTGCTGCTCTGTTAAGCTTTGGTAAAGGAACTTGCAATGGAGTAAATTACACACACTACACAGTCTACCACTGACACACAGAAACTGATAACTGAAATCAAAGTATCTTCTGGCAGTTACAGATCACAAAATCCCAAGCATTTTATCCCACAGTGTACATCCAATTGATTTTACAGGACATTTGCTGGTGGGCAAGCAGACTGGTAAGAATGTCATGCCAAAATCACCTTTGTGAAGCATACAAGACATGGTATGCCAGCTGAGTTCTAGATGGTGACTTCATTGCAGTCACATTTGCATTTTAAAACAGGTTTTAAAAAATCTGTTTTGAGGAAAAATATACCCTGCAAATATTATTCGTATCAGAAAAAGAGAGGATTTCTTTTTATAGCTGCACCTAATACTCCTAAAAGATGAACAAGATACAAGCACTGGTATCCTCGTACACCTTTTACACTTGTGAGAGGTAAAAAGTGATCCCTTGGTTATTTCTTCTCTTTTTTTTTTTTTTTTTAAAAAGAACACATGCATAGATAAACACATGTTTCAAAACTCCATTGGTTCCTGTCAGCCCAATGTTTTACATTAGCTAGAAGTATTCTGGCTCACAAAACACATTCTTGAAGAAATGCACACCCATTGAGAAGCACCTGAAAACAGACCTGGTTGCTTCAAAAGAAAATGCATGTACCAACTAATAGAGGGAATTCTTTCTGGCTCCTTGTATATTTGTGGTATAACTTGTTGGACAAGACTTGGCAATGGTTGTAATTTATCTGACACTTGTGTTTCAGATGTTGGAGCCTTTCTGACCTCAAGGTGTGCCTTCACTCAGTCAACTCATCCATCAGGTTAACAACATTTGAAGTGTTGTTCAAACAACTAACAACATCCAGCTTATAGGTGGGAGGGAATCTTTCTAATAATAGGATTTTCTTGACATGCTTAAGTATTAATTGCTTACACCTGTGATGACTACAGGCTGTTTCATCTCTTCTGACATGGAGAAGTAAGATCCTGGCTCCTGGAAGCTTAGTCAGAAGGACATCTAGAAGGAGATAACATCAGTGTAATAAGGTGGATGAGAAACAGAAACTAAGGAAAACAAGGTGTCTGAAAATGCTTTAAAGCCTCCTTGCTGACTAGCCAAGAGTAGAAACAAGGCACTACACAGACTGTTTGCAAAAGCTGGCTTTTTATGTAGAAGATCCATGTGAGGAAGCAAACAAACAAACAAAAATTAAATAGAAAAATATCCTATCACTGTCTCCATCACACTAAGTTTTCAAGCACCCTGGTCATACAGTTTTTCTCTGAGGTAAATGACTCAAACTTAAAGAACAAATAATTAATGAATAAAACCATTCAGAAGTTCAGTGCTCCACCTTGGGCATAAAGGCAATGTCTACTTGACCTGGTTGCAGTTATTTTCAGGAAGGGTCTTCAGAAGAACAACGTGAAATCCCCAAACTCCTGAAGAATTAAGCTACTGCTTGAATATTTGGGTTTTTACTACACACCATCAGAAAAATGGAAAGGTAATGTTGTTTTCACAGCTAATACCCTGGTGGAACCTGTGCCTTCTTATATAATAGCTGTGCATGAGTAAGTCATCTTCTTTTCATAGCATCTTACCTTTATCTGTGTAAGGTACCTGCTTTCTGTCCTTTGGAAAAGCCTACAGAAATCCTTCCGCTGCGCCTCAGCATTCCAGATGAGACAAGGGACAAATATGAGAGGTCATGGTCTTAAGCTGGACCAGGGGAGGTTTAGGTTGGATGGTAGGAGGAATTTCTTGGCAGAGGGTCATTGTGCATTGGAATGGAGTGCCCAGGGAGATGGTGGAGTCCCTGTCACCAGAGCTGTTTAAGGAAACACTGGACATGGCACTCAGTGCCTGGTCTGGTTGACATGGGCATGTTAGGTCATAGGCTGGACTCCATGATCTCAGAGATCTTTTTCAACTTGACTGACTGTGATTCTGTGCTCTGGAGCTATGAGACCTTGGGAGTTCACCTCTGTGTCAGTAAATGCACAGCAGAAACAAGACAGCCTCCTCGTTTTGACACATATTACATCCACTGCTGTTAGCTAATACAACAGAGATTTCATTTATTTTTAAATTATTAATATTTAAATTTCTATGTATTTTTATTTTATCAATAAAAGCAAAGGAATAAACAGAAAATCCCCGAGTGCCGCCTGTCTCCGGCTGAGGCCTGGCTGTACAGCCGGCCTGCCTTAGGCCGGAACCAAATGCTCGGAGCGCGTTTCCTCCGGAGCCGCTCCGTGTGGCAGCGCAGGGGCCGGGGAGGGCCGCAGCCATGGCCGACACTGCCGCGCCGCCGCC